TATCAAGTCGTTGCGATCAGATCATGGTGGCAAATACCTCTAAGGGAAGTTGACTACTTGTCAGAGAATAGGATTGAGTCTCAACTGACTCCATCAGGTATGCCCCAACAGAATGGCATAGCAAAGAAAATGAATAGGACTCATATGCAGTGGTTAGTGCAATGATGTGCTATAGTAGCTTACCATATTCGTTCTGGGGGTATGCCAGATACGACAACTTACATTCTAAACATGGTACCTTCTGAATTGGTTTCAACTACGCCCATGGAATTCTGGACCGGACATATACCAGTCTAAAATATATCCGAAAATGGGGTAGCCCAACATATGCACTGAGGGGAGATATTGATAAGTTGGAACGATGAATTAAAGTAAGGTTTTTGTGGTATATCCCAAGGGAACGAATGAAAGTCTATATTATAGTCTTGAGGACCAAAGAGTGATGGTTAGCACGAATGCTCAATTCTTGGAGGATGACTATGACATGGACCACAAGCCAAGCAGTAGACATGTCCTAGAGGATTTAAAGGGGGTTGATACTTTAGTGCATGGTGCACCTGGTATTACACCACATGATACTACAACACGTGTCACTGATGATGCACCTAAGCTAGTATCACCTCGTCATAGTGAGAGGGTTGGCAGGAAGCCTAATAGATACATGTTTCTGGGATTCTTCTAAGATAGTCTCGGATAGACTTGATATCGGCCCATAGACTTATGACGAGGCACTCCAAGATCGGGATGCAGTGTCTTGGCAAAGTGCGACGGAGAGAAGACGTAGACCCTCGTTAATCAAGGTTCTCAGTGACTCCTTGTTAACAAGCCACTTTCGAGACGGTCCTGACCTGATAGGTTGCGACAACAACTAAGTATCGCCACATCCCTTCGTTTTGTTAGTTCGTTCTTTCTCTGCCATTGATATTGACAGAGATCTCGTGCAAATTGGGAAAAGCACAATCTTGCTTTACCCATAGTGGAGCTGAGTTCCCACATATGGCACCAATTTGATAGGGATCTACCGAAACTCCAGTTTTAGGTCACCGACCTTTGGATCTCCGAATCGGTCTGGCTTGCTCACCATAATACCAAAAAAAAAACGTAGGTAGGGTTCCTGACGTAGACTCTCTGGCGATCAAGTCAATTTTCTTAATATGGAGAAACGTGCGCAATTGTGATTATTTAGAATATCAAATAATGAGAGCTTTTTTTATGGTCATACCTCAGTCCTTATGTATGAAAATAGTTACTTGCTGCCCAAGAATACTTTGCTGCCTGAAAATACCTTATTTTGTTGTCCAAACATATCTTGTTGCCAAGAATATCTCATCCTGTTGACCAAGACTATCTTTTTGCCCACGAATATCTTGTTACCCAAAAATGCCATATCTGCTTTAGGTCAACCCAAAGTCTTCTCGTGGAATAGTTCAACTTCTCCACTATACTAGCTCGATTAAATAGATCTTCATACATGTAGGTTGTTAGGCCAAAACTCGACCCAACGCTTATGGCGAAACTAAACCGATATAATCAACCTAATCGACCTGACGAACCCCGACTTAGGTCGAGCTAGGACCCGAGGGAGCTCCGGTCTACAAACAAGTTGTCTATCCTATATCAATAATGGTTGCTAGTCCTCGAACAACTAACCCTAGCAAAAGAAATTATTAGTACTTAAGTAAGCGTAATTGGAAGAAAAATTAGAGATGACGCCTATACTTCACTAACCATGTATAACACTTCAGTAATGCTCCCCTACCCACGGTGGACACATGTTAATATGTCCACCGCTTATATGACATGCACAGATTGGTGATGTGTTTTTTGAACATATTAACATCACCAATATGTGCATGTCACATAAGCGGTGGACATATTAACATGTGCCCACCATAAGTAAGGGAACATTACACTATAACACTTATCCGAGAGAGATTTACTTTCATATCCATTGGTAGATCTGTTGATTAATGACCATCTTTATTGTCATTGAAGATGTGTCAAACACACCATCATTAATGACCGTGGGTTGAACTAATCTATTGCCGAGTGCAAAAACATATCTCATTCCTCACAAATACACGATTGAGAAACCGAATTTCCATCGAAGACCAGATTTCTTTTTCCTTAACAACAGTGATGATTGGTATGTGAATTCCATAATAACCCAAGTCACAGAAAGTTGAATAAAGTAGAAGATAGAAAACTTCAAGAAAAGTAAATTGTTATTTATTATTTAAATTAAAGAGAGGGTTGTCCAGGCGAACCAAAACCCGGCACTCAGCAAGTCTATGTAAATTTACAAGGCTCATGAAGTCACATTCCCAGCAATGTAAATATACAACTTCAACCCAGCACGAATTCACAATGTAATGAGAACAAACATAATCCAAAATCGTATCACCCGACCAACCCCTTTCCCGAGAAAACATAAATCCACTACTAAAATATCTTTCAAACTCAATCGGCCCAAGATCAGTTATGAACAGCGGGTCCAGATTTTTCACTTGGCAAACAATTGGTTGTTCCTTTATTCTTTCCATTGCAGAAAGGGGTTTGGTACTAAAAGGATTTCTACACCAATGAGGCTTTCTCAGAGAACGAACATGGCCTACCTTGCACCGACTTTTCGGTTCATCAAGTCATGGTAGTATAGCAACACGCACATTGGTTGACCAACGATACAGAAAAAACACCAGAACATCATATTTCCCACCTGGAAAAAAATAGTCAAGATACTGCAAATTATAAAAGATGGACAAGGCAAGTTTGTCTGTCATGATTCAACCTAAAAACAATGGACACTGACAAATCCCTACCCAAAGTATTGAGCTACTACAATAAAGAACAGGCCAACTGTGAAATCTCACTAGAAACAACCTTGACATTATTTTACATTTTGCCCCCACTTAGTTGATCTCACCGGATTTAGTAGCGTCATAGAATATATTAACAATTAAACCCCTAAACTTTCTAACGTCGCCAATAAACCAGATATTTAGCTTGGTTGCATGTGATATTTTAAGTTGAATGCAACAAACAGTACGATGGAAGCGAGAAGTTGGAGTTACGTTACATTTTAGAGAAGTTAAGGGATGAGATGTAAAATTATTGACGACTTCAGCAATTTCTACTATTTCACTGATGGCAGGTGATTTATGGAAAACATCGGGGTACTTTTGTAATTTCTTGAAGTAAGCTGGTCTAGTAGGCTTTTGTTTCATAATTAGGCCAACCTATAAACAATTGTAACTTAAAGGTCGTTGTTTGTCGTCCGGAAAGCCTATCCAACTATGTTGCACCAAGAATCAGGAATAAAGGGCATAAAAACAAGGGTTACCATAGAAAGTTGAAAACTAAATTTTCAAGGATCTTGCAGGGGACATATAATAAACTTCAGATATGATAATGGTTCCTGCTCTTATCTGCTTTATTCAGACTGTTACCATAAATTCTTAATAGAAATATGGTCCGCTTGAAATTTCAAGGAGATGTCACCACTTCTCCAGTGAGAAGCTACTTCGCAAGGTGACTTCTTCATTTCTCTTGAACATTTAACCAAGAAAAAGAATAAGGATGCACAAAGATAGAACAATCTTAAAAATTTCCTCTTGACTACCAAAAACCCTCAAGTTTAACACCACAAAACAACTCCCTTTTCACAGTAGCTACAAGTTGTCCTGGCAATAGACTCAAATCAGTTACTATCTCCACTTATTCATCTTTTCGACACGGAAGCTTATAATTCTTACACTGTCTCTTCACTCCCGAAAGAAGCCATTTATATAGAAGTATTAGGTCATTAAGTATGAAAAGGCAATCAACGAAATTCGATAATTCATAAATCGAATAAAAAACTAAGCATAAAAAGGTCTGGAGAGAGAGGGAGAGACTACCATCGAATTTTGGAACTTGTTTTGCAAGAAATTGGT